GTGGGAACGCGTGTGTATCTACATGCGTGTAGAAGTCAGAGGACAAACTCTGATGTTGTTCTTCAGGCATGGTCCACTTTTAAGAAGTTCTTTGTTTCTGAGACGACCTCTCACTGGCCTGGAACTGTCCTAAACCAGGCCAGATCAGCCGGCCCAGGAGCCCCGGGGGTGTGCCTGTCTCTGCCTTCCCTACCTTTTCCCATAGAAATCTCTTTTTAGTAAGAAGGTTACTCCATGTTAGTTCAAGATTTTCATTCTGGGAATCTGGCATTCAAATTGAGGCTCAAGGGAATTCTGAATGTTTTTGTTGAAAGAAAAACAATGAAATGCTAAGTCACAAAAATAATGAAATATTTGCAGTATCCATTAAGACAGACAAGATCTGGACAGTCAGGAAGGTGGGAAAAACTGAGAAGTGTAGTGGTTTGAACGCTAATGACCGCCCTGTATTTGAATGCTTGGCCCTCAGTTGGCGGAACTGTTTTAGGATCAAGAGTGTGACCTTGTTGGGGCAGGAATATCATTGGTGGTGGGCTTTGAGGTCTCAAAAGCCCATGTCATTCCCAGTATCTTTCTGTATCTCTGACTCTTTGTCTCTCGTGTGTGTGTGTGTGTGTGTGTGTGTGTGTGTGTGTGTGTGTCTGTCTGTCTGTCTGTCTGTCTGTCTGTGTCTCTTTGCCTGTGTCTCTTTCCATCTCTGTCTCTGTCTCTCTGTCTCCCTTTGCCACTGTGTGTCTCCCCATCTCTGTCCCTGTGTATCTGTCTGTCTGTCTGTCTGTCTGTCTGTCTCTCTGTGCCTTGTGCTTGTGGATCAAGATGTGAGCTCTCAGCCACTGCTCCAGGGCCATGGCTGCCAGGCTGCTGCCATGCTCCCTGTCGTGATGGTCTTGGGCACTACTGCCCTCTGAAGCCGCTAGCCCCCAAATTAAATGTTTCCTTTTCTAAGTTGCTTTGGTCATGGTGTCTCTTCAGAACAATAGAAAAGTGACCAAGACAACAAGTAACTCTGAAATTATTTCAAAAGAGAGGTTAAAAAGTATGCCCTGATTTTCCTACCTCCATTCTTACTTCCCTTATTTTTGTTGTGACTCTGAAATGATTCCAAAGTCAAAGTCCTGCCAGCCTGTTTCCTTCCGTTTTCCTTCCTTCTTAGATCCTTTGGTGAGGCAGATGCAGAGTGGGGAGGGCCTGCCCATGTCGTTTTTGTCCCCAGGTAGACGTGGAGTTGCACAGAAGGCCCCAGGAAAGATGCAACTCCACCCTGCCCCCTTCGAAACTTGGCTCCATGGACTTCGAGCTCCACAATGGCAAGGATCATGTGTGGCAAATGGGTACTGGCCCCAAAAGCATCCCAATGGGGTTACCATAGTTCTTTGTCAACAAACCATCTTAACACACGAAGTCAGGAGAAATGAGTTGGCTGTCACTAAAGAGATGAGGCGGATACTGTTGTCCACTAGGTGATGACCTGTTGACAGGAGGCAGAACATCCTGCAAGCTTGGCCCTTAGGTTTTTAATAACAATCGACAACCACTTTGATTTCATCTGGCGCCATGGCTCTACAGTTGCATGCCCAATTCCTGCCATTTTGGAGCGCACTCTGTACTCTAGTTTAATGCCCCCTCAGCTCCCAGATGTAGAGACCCCTTTACAAATGTCTGGAGGAGATCTTCTTGTTCTTTGTCTGGCTAATGTCACTTTAAGTGCACTCAGACTGCCGTGTGGCCCTTTGGCTTGTCATTTTAATGGATTACTGGACAGAAGCTATAAAAGGAAGCACTATGCTTGGAGACCATATCCAAGAGAATTGCGGACGTGATTAATAGGGGGCTTTTAGCTTTTATGGAATGTCATTCTTCTTAAAGTGCACTGCTAAAGGCCTTCAAAATAAACCACCTTGTAAAATGACATAGGTACATATATCCTGGGTTTTGGAGGGATGAAGGACCCAGTTTCATTCACACAGTGTGTTAGAAAACTAAAAGCCCCCCCCCCTTATTTTTGCATTCCAAAGTGGAAATGATAGAAATGCCCTCATACAATTTTCTGCTCCTTTTTCTGCCATTGGCCTCTATGGATGTCTTAACTGGGTTGGTATTGTTGGAGCACCTCCAGGTTTGGGGTTTTTTTTTGGTTTTTTGTTTGTTTGTTTGTTTGTTTTGGTTTCCCCCTTTCTAGTCATGATTGTATGCTGTGGGATGTTCTGTATATCCTGTGGGAGCCCGTTCTCGGGTTCCTCGTGGCTTTACCCAGCAGGTCCGCATAGAGGATGATTAGGACCACAAGCCTGAGTGCAGGTGTCTGAGATGGTCTGCACTTGGCTGTGCTGGGGGATGGTCTGTATGTCAAGTTGCTCTGATTGGTCAATAAATAAAACA